CAGTAGAAATGAAAATTTTTTTTAGAATCGAAAGCGTTTCATTAGATTCACAAATTTGGACTTTGTACTTCTGGACATGAATTTTACTTTCACACTTTCATTGTACAATTTGTACTTAAAAATTAATTCTATTACGTTATGACACCTCAAAAAAGATAATAATAATTATTACAAATGATATGATAACCCTAAATACCTTTCGTACAAAGTTCAACTATGTTTTATGAAACGAAACCAAGTGTCCGGATACTTATGGACGGTGGTGTACATTGGACTATAATGAAATAGAATTGAAGTTACCTAACTACACTTTAATTACAGTTAAATTATTTCAATTATTCCAACAAATTATTTAAATTTGAGTTTAATTCGTTTGATTTAATTATGTCAAATGTGAAATTTTGCGACGAAAATTTGTATTAAATTTTTGCATCATACTGTACGCGTATTATGAATATTTATGGTTTGTTAGGATACTATCAAATTATCTGCAGAACAAATTAGATGCATACTATTATGGTATGTTCAATGGAACGTTGATCAAATGAAAGCGAAGCACCCTAATTATAATTTAATTCAATAGAAGCAAAATATTTTAATTATAATCTGATTTAATACAAAGGGAATACTTTAGTTTTGATTTAATTAAGTGGAAGTAACGTTCTTTGAAATGTTTGAAATATGAAATTCAGAATTTGTAATATAAACCTATATAAATAATATAAATAATATAATTTATAATATAAAACAAACGAAATTATGTTAATTACATTAATTACAGAGTATAATATTTCTGCAAAAATTATTTCCAATAATTCTTCATCGTACCTTTTATTCATCATTCACGAAGTTTGTTAATTTTAAAATATTTAATAATAAATAAATTAAATTTTCATATGTAAATTTTTGTAATGAACTTACACATTTCAGTCGATCAGTTTACCATTCATTTAATTTAAATTATTTCTGCTAATTAGTTTATCATTTATTTAATTTAACTATTTCTCATTTAAATTGTTAAATTATTTAAATTTCTAAATTATTGCTTTATTAAATTGACGTTTCGAAACAGGTTAAAGAGTCAGCCATTTTGTAACATTTTTATACTTCAATGAACTCGATCACGTTTTCTGTAACACGTTTAATCAGACGTACACTTTTCTCGTTTGAATTGCATAATTCTTGCATCACATTTAAATAAAAAAGAAGAGTTTAGCATTTTCTTAGATTCACCTCGTGGAATATTCATCGATTCTCTGGTAGCTGTGACTTTTAACTATGAATCGATCTACGATTAGGTAGGAAAGGCTTATCGGATTTGCATAAAGTTTCTTCCAAACTAAAATGATCCTTCTCGATTTACTTCAAGATTATGCAATTAAGGAACTTCTTAAGTTCCTTAAAAAAAATATACGATAAAATATATTGATATCATGCTTCACAAAAAGAAAAATTGTTTCTATTTAAATCTATCGACAATTATTCAAAGATTAAATGCAAATTATTTCAAATGTCTCCTTTCTTCTAAAGAAAAGAAGAATACTGAAGACGTGAAATGAATTCCACAAATTCTACTCGAACGAACAATATAAAATCGTAAAACAAGCGTAAAATCTTCAGCAAATAAATACTTTTATAACTCGCTCTCGTATTAACTTTCCAACCACAATTGATAAACTGACTATTGGTATGTCTGACCACACGTGTCATGCATTCCTGCGGCGCGTTTATGGTCGAGAAATTCCCCGAGTTTTTCCACTGCTCTAACCCCGGGAGCACGTTCGTGCTTGAGTTCCGTGAAAGAGAAATAGAATCCGTTTTATTTTTCACAGTCTGTCTTATACCGTCGTTATTGTAACAAGCACTCCTATCGAAGTGATTTCGCGAAACGTTCAGAAAGAAGCAAACGTGACCTACATCGAAGGATTCTCTATAAAATCTTTCTCGTATCGTTCCAGATATCGTGATTCTCTTTCATGTTGATACAATGCTCGATCATTTTTAAACAACTTCGACGTACAATATTTACAGTGAGATTCATTCCATTTTATTCTTCTGTTATTTCATTCCGACTTTTCGTTTCTGGTTTATTTTGTGATTAATTGTAGAATGGTGTTTATTTTATTTGGAAAAAGAGGTGATTTGAGTTTGTTTAAATTTGTGAATTTAAAATCGAGTTTGGTCAAAATTTGCTCGATTAAATTTAATTCACTGAAAATTCAGTTTCACTGAAATTTGTTCGATTGAACTTAGTTAATTTTAAATTGAGTTTAGTTAAAACTTATTCAACGAAACTCAGTTAATTTTAAGTTGGGTTTGGTTAAAATTTGTTCGTTTAAAATTAGTTAAGTTAATTTAAAATTGAATTTATTTAAAATTGGCTAAGTTAATTTAAAATTGAGTTTATTTAAAATTGGCTAAGTTAATTTAAAATTGAGTTTATTTAAAATTATCTAAGTTAATTTAAAATTGAGTTCATTTAAAATTCACTCAAGATGACCTAAACTTTAAATAAAGTTTGTTCGAAATCAGCCAAATTATTTTAAAATTCAATTTATTTAAAATCAGCTAACTTAAAATTAACTTATAACTTCATCATCGAAGGTAAATAAAATTTGTAATAAAAAATTAATTCAGATATCTTCTCTTATTGGCATGTACACAATTTCGTCTTCAAAGAATTAATTTTCCCGCGCATCTAACCTCAAAAATATCTATTCCACAGAAATCTGAGCTTACAAGATTAATTTCATACCAGTTCCAGACTAATGTTATTGTTCGCAACGTGTCACAGTTAAACGAAATGTTTTTCAGACGCAAGATCGAGTTTCGTTGATCGCCGACATTCGTTACAGGTGGCTGACACAAGTCGACCAAACTGACACATGTTCGAAACACTGAAACAATAACTGATATTCATCCTGCCTGACATGATCATTTCGAAATGAACATAGAGAATGCGCATAGCGAGTTGCCAACAAGAACAATCATATCCCATAATTTACTGCGTTACATGTAGCAATTTCGACTTTCAGTGCAATGGCTCCTGTAGAGAGTTTATTTCTATTGATTCTTGTGAATTATAATTGAAATTAGTTGAATAAAATGTATCTTAATGAGCAATTAAACGTGGAAATGATTATCGATGCTAATTTATTGTAGCTTTGAAATTATTGTTAACGATCTCGTATATTCTTGCATCGTACAATTATTATACACACGTATGTGCACACATGTTACATGTGTATGTACACACATATTACGTAGTTATATGTGTACAC